CCTGCTGAAATGATTGTAACAGATGAGACAATACATCTCGGCTTGAGCGAGGGCTCTAACTCAGGTGTGCTTGACCACTAGTCAAAGGTTGCCCTCACAAGGTAATTGATTTGTAGTCTGTGACTGGATACCTGCTTGGAATAACACTGACATCTGGCATAAGCGCAGGCAGTCTGCACTGTGAACACAGGCAGTTCAATACTGGGGAATAAAAGGCTGATGTTGATTGATGCAGCACAATGACACCAATTTAGAATTCTAGCAGAAAAAGCTTATAGAGTTTGACCAGCTCTACTGAACAAGAACACATTACTTTTCAAGTGAAAGGTGCATACCTGCCCTAGCATGAAGGCACAAAGATCAGTCTTGCACTAAAACAAATTTATTGTTTTTCCTCCTGGTTCCTAGGCCTCATGGAAAGGGCAGATCCCAGGAAAGTAGAAAGGAGTGAAGGTTGCTGCCTTGTGTTCAGAGCAGCGAGTGCCCCACAAAAGCTTCTAGTAGAAGAGTATAGGATCATGGAAGTCTAAATCTATGCTGCTACATTTCTGATCTTGCCAGGAGAAAATAATAAAGTAAAACATCCTCAAACCAGGTCACTGTTGCTGTGTCTTGTAGTTTCTTCACAGATTCAGCTTAGGAAAGTTTCCACCTAAAAGAGGCTGAACTTGCCCCTTTTCCTAGATTTGGCCTTGCAGGTACTGAATTTGGTCTCGCAGGTACTGAATTCGGTCTCGCTGGTACTGAATTTGGTCTCGCTGGTACTGAATTTCTAGCTGCTGCATTTCTATGATTTTCTCTCTTTCTTTCTCTTTATTCAACCTCAGGACAGCTGGGCTGGGGAGCAGTTCACCTGAAGGAGCTAGAAGACAAAATCAGAGAGGACAAAGCAGAGTAACAAAGGTCCAGCTTGCGGAGTTTTTTGGCATGAACAAGGAAAGGCATCTTTCAGGGCTGAAGGACTAGAGCTAAACAGTAAGATTCTGCAATATTTAGCAGCTTCTACAACTAACATTACAGTATAACAGGTATCACCAGGCAGACAAGCTGGAATGAGTAACAGAATTGTTCACCAAAGACAAAAAGGGCTCCTGGAATGAGTACTGATAATATGGAAACCATACAAGACGCACTATTCACCTGTGTCTTGAATTGCTTGCTTTTTCTTGATTGATTTTTGTGTTGACTGGAGGTCACGTACCCGGGCATTGGCTACCTTCAGTTCTTTCCGCAAGTCATTAATATCCTTAATCAGACTCACATTTTCCTGCAAAAACAATATGCCAGATAAGGAAAAACACAGGTGGAAAAACTCTCTGGCTCAGCAATATATCTCTCCCTATCATTGGGAAGGACACTGTATAGTATAGAATCAGTATTGCAAGCAGAAGATACAGGGTAATCAGTACAGCATACAACATTTCAGATAAGGCCACAGTAGATTTGACAGAAAACATGACAGTATTCAAACCATCTCGGCTCAACAAGATAATATTTGCTTGGCTTTTCTGACTGCAGCTGCACTCTGGGGTATCATTTTCCTTGCCAGTTCTACAGGGAAGCTTAGGTCCCTTCCTAAGGGATTGATCTAATTAATTCAGAATTAATGTGAAGGATTCCCATTTCTCCCTCCAGTGTGTATTATTTTGCTTTTCATTTGCCACCAAGTGTCTGATCACTTAAATTATCTGTATCTCCTTGCAGTTCTTTGAAGCCCTCTTCATTAGTTCTGACAGACATCGCTTTCTAACGCCCCTTCCAAATTATTAAGAACTATATAAAGCATACGAAGACTTGAGATACCTACTGCTAACATGCTGTTATGAGGAAAAGTTGGCTATGTATTCAGCTTTTGTTCTTTTTTTAGTCTGTTTTCAACCCATAAGAGTTCAATGTTCTGATTTTTTAAAGGCCTACCTACCACAAAGCATCTTGCTGAAGGAGTTGAGAGTGTACAAGAGAATGTACTTTACCCATGGTTGTGGCAGTTTCAAAGTCTTCATCAAAAACAGTATGGGCTAATACTGGTGAAGGATGATAAAACTGTTGCTCGTGATTCAGAAACAGGAGCACCATTAACTAAATATTTATTGTCTGAATCCAAGAGAAGTGGAATTGTGTATTTGCCTCTTTCAAAGACAGTGAAATACTTTATCACATCAACAGCTAGTGCAAGTACTACAAAATAATCACCACCTGTGGTGATTTTGTTAGAAGTTTTGGAACACAGCACCATTCCAACCCCTGGAACTTCATAATAAATGGCAATATTTTGAGAAGATAAATGGCCAAAAGGCATGCTCTGGGTACCTCATATAATACCAGTCTCAAGCAATAGGAACCCACTAAAAGAACAGAAGATAAGAACAAGGATTAATAACATTTTCCTATTAAAAAAGCGGTCTTCAAATCTTGATTTTTTTAAAATGATAATTTTGGTTGATAGAGATAATTATGTTGTCATAAGAGATTTATGTAAGGCATATGATTCGGTTCCTAGTACACTTATAAAGTGTTGCCCCCACACAACTGAAAACTGGTTAGTAACAAAATACAATGCTTACTGCAGTTATCTGTCTATAGATGCACTCAAGGAGTTCAAGTTGGCAGCAGTAACTCAAGGTGCATGTATGTGGCAAGATTCTCAATAATTAATGCTAGGACAAGTACACCAACTGGACTTTAGTTCCCCTCAGCTGAAAGTCACTGGCTGGAGGAAGATTGTGGGATGCATTGAGGTCTGAACTTGCTGAGCAAGAACAGTTCTTGCAGTGGTTGCGTTGGACTCTAAATGCAGCACAAGTTGGTGAGCTTAGGCAGCCTGCTCTGAAACCATATCATTTTCTTGACTCTGACTTGTTTAGTTCAAGCCTTTAAACACAGATGAAATCTGACTGCTATGCATTTATCTCAGATCTTGATCCTGAAAAGAACATACGAAGAGGATAACTTCCAAGAATCAGTCAAGGAAATTTTCTTTGGACCAGCTTTCAGGGCTAGGTCACAACATTTCTGTTGAAGTGTACCTTAGTCATAGACATCTTCATAAATTCACTCCAAGTGGTTCTATCAAATGAAGATCTTGCTTTTGGTCTGTTAGATGGTATAATATCTCGTATAAGGCAATCTGGGCTATGTAGAAATGTCTTGTTTGGTTTTCTGGCTGCTGGTTGACACTGATAATATTTTTCTGAAGAAGCGTGCTATCCGGAGAGATCAGCCTTTAATTCAATCCTTGCTTTCTGACAGAAAGCTTGCGGTGCAATGCAATGATCAGGCAATGGATTAAAACAAAAGTTCATGGTAAAGCTCAATGTCACGGGATGTTGTGGCAAAGTACTCATTGTATCAAAAAAGGGATTGATCAAATGTATGGAGGATGAGGCCATCAGGTACAACTGCATATGATGACTGCACGCAATCTACAGCCTAGGAAGTCCCTACAGTGCTGACTGTCACAGACAGGTAGGACATATTATACACGAGATCATCCTATACATGCTCCAGTTCAAGCAACGTTACTTCAAGATTATTCAGTGTGTCTGTTCTTATGAATCCAAGTGACTAAAGAAGGCATTACAAATACAGAAGGCTGGAAGGAAACATAATGGTCTAACAACAAGCAACTCACCAACTGGTAAGAAAATTAAAATTATCTTGACAGTTCTAATCATCTGCTGCAGCATTCACCAGTGAAATGTGCCAATGAATAGTCACTCAAAGAGTCCAGCTCTGAAAATGCAGGCATAACTGAGGAATAATAGCAATGCAGAGCTAGAGGGTCACCAAGATGTTTACTCTTTCAAAGCAAGCCCTCACAGAAGTTTGTCTAAACTAGTCTTGAAAGTCCCCTATGAAGGACTGGAAGACCATGATAATTCCTCCTGGCTGAAAAATCTCATTAATCTACTAGACTTCAGAGAACTGCTTTTTCTTTGAAGAAACCAGGCTGGTTAGAACCTTTGATATCTTCATCTTCCAGATGTTTTATTAATTTGGTTTTAATTATCATTTCATGTTAGGCTTACTGATCCAAGACATCAAGCATTATCATTATGAGCACCATCTGTCACTCCATTCCAGCAAGGAAATTCTTCAGGTTATTTTCTGAAGCCATCTCTTTTTGTGCCAAAAGAAAACATCTAACACAGAAGGAGTAAAAAAATTAAAACAGTGCCAGGGAAGAAGATCTCTGCTGTCTGGGCCTGAAGAAGCACTGTGAATAGTAAAGAACAGATGACTTAGGAGGAGACTGAGGTCTAATGATCTTGAGAAAGCATAATAAAGTAACAATGAAGAAAAGGCTAGTGAGGAGAAAAGGAAATGCTGACAGAGCAGGAAATCATGGTAGGAAGAGACTGTAAAAGAGCTGTCCTCCCAGGATGCTTGGTGTGGAGCTTTAGGTCCTCTCACTCCAGATGAAAATGATTTGGATCTTTAGCCCCAGCAGTCACAAGCTTAACTTGCCTCGTAAGGAACAAGGATTCTGAGCAAGAGATCTTGGTATGAATATGTATACTCATCGTGTGTTTCTGAACTTCCTCAAAAACCTGGATGTGAAAAGCAGAAAGTTCTTCTAAATTCAGTCCAGCAGGTGTGGGACTATGTGGCCAAAGAAAGTTTGGAGTTTTTTAAGTTTTGTTTTCTTCCTCCAAAGTGACTTTCTAAACACCACCACAAAACAACTACAGCTTGGCACTCAGACAGACTATGATGGCAATTATAAATACTATTTGAAACGAAAAAAAAGTACATTAATTGCTTTAAAAAAATCCAGGCAGCAGAGATTCCCTATCTCCTTTTACTTTAGGGAGTGGGAGGTAAACAACAGTATCCACAAAACAGCAGCAGTTCCTCATTTCAGAGATACTGTACTTGTTGTCTAGAAAATTATAAAACTTCAATAGCTCAATGAAAACCATCCTTGAATGGAAGCACTTTGGAAACTTAGGAATTTCTGGCCAGGATTTAAACTAAAACTTTTTCAACATCCTAAGAAACCATAGCAGTAAGGCTACTAAAGTCTCTCTTGTGCAGCTGATTCCTTTCCCCCTCTCCATATTACAAGGAAAAGGCACGTTACCTGCACAATGCGTGCGTAGGCAACTTGGTGGATTTTCTGATCCTTCACCACCTTCTTTTGCAAAGCTGCCAAATTCCTCTCAAGATACTCTCGCTGTCTTGTGGACTCCTGCTGCAAATCTGTGTCTTCTGCTTCGGTCTCCACCTGAGGGGGCACAGCATGTAATTTACTCCACCACAAAAACTGATCTGCAAGGAGAAGGCAAAGGCCCTGACTCACCATGTCTGATTGCTGCACATACTTGGTGTAGAGCTTACGGATCTCATCCTTCATTTTTTTTGAATCCTGAATGAAGCCCACACAATTAAGAAGATCCGTTTTAATTCGCTTGACGAGAGCTTCCATATTTCGCTTCTGCAAGAATGATGTCATTACATTCTTATTTGGCTCATCAGAGCGCTCTATCATGTACAATTTTCTAGAAAGCATGGTAGGACCTGTGAAAGCTCTCATGTACTTTACTTCCACTCATTTTTTAAAAAACACATCATTAAAAAAACCTGCTGGGGATGTGAACACTGTGCATTTCAAATAGCAGAGATAAGTTTTAGCAGTAATATTAATCCAAGATACTTGCATTAGGTAATGCAAGCGCCAGCATGCAGAAGGCTCAACTGAAAACCAATGGCCTATTACCATGAATGCTACCCCCCATGGCCCTTTCCCAAACAAACTACATTCTTATTTAGAAACAACACGCAAACAGTTAATGAGAGAAGGCAAGGGACAAAACACATATCAGACACATGCACAACTTGATGATTTCACATCAAGATTGCCTTCTCAATTTTATTTAGTTTCTACCAGGCCCCTCCGCCTGCTTCCTCAGCCTGCTAAGCTCCTTTCCCTTCACTTGCAGTCCCTTTTCCTCCATCATGTCTGACGTGCTTGTTGTCAAACACAAGAGGTCCTTGTCTTCTCCATTAATAAGCCCACCCTTCATTTCATCCTACTAATGCCTATATATCATTGCAGGTGTTAGCCTACATGCTGCTCCTGTTTAGGCCGAATGTCCCCAAATTTCAAGCTTGGGCACGAAAGGGTAGTCAGTCATGCATTTGCCTCACTGCTCTGTTAAATCCAGGAGAATATGTTTTGATTGAACAAACTGACACATAAACTACTGGATTTTTATCATATCAACCTTCTAACCTGGTTGCAGGCTTACAAGTTTTCTGTTTTTGTCCTCACTGATCAGAGAATCTCTTGGCCCTTGGACACAGTATCCCTGAAGTACCTGTTTGCTCAGATCAATGCTTCTGCAATGTTCTGTCCCCACAGACATAATTACGTAGGACCTGCACAGCGGTGGTACCCCATACCTTCTGCCTCTCTCTGTGCATCTCACTATCAGTTGCCTTTAGTTTTTGTTGCAGTTGTGTGATGTTCAGCTTCAGCTGTGTGCTCTCCTTGTGAAATCGTTCCAGCTCCCTCTCCATCTGAAAGGAAGCAGCAGGAGGAAATCAGGACTAAAAGGAGACATGAAAAAACAACACATAACAGGAAAACCAGAGACTGGAAATACAGACGTCAGGGAGTAGATCCCCCTTCAGGTTGAATTAAAGCACTAAAAAAAAGTCAATTTTGGAGCAACACTGCCCTCTGTCAGAGTACCCAGAAACCACAAAAATGGATAGTCGACTCCCGTTTGAATTACAGGCATTTGAGTGATGTGATGCCCCTTCATTTCCTTGAGCTGAACTGCAGCTTTACTGTTCCATCTGAATAAAAACAGGTGAGATAGAAATTAACAGTGAATACTGGGAAGACTAAGTGCAAGAAAGAGAAACACCTGATACTGAAACGAAACAAATGCATTGAAAAGCGGTGGTTACATACGTAGAATGCAGGGGAAATTATTTAAATGGCTTTTGTTCTGAATAAACAGACTTATGAAAATTAATAGGTCACTGATCAGCTCTGTCACCATAGTCCTAATCTGGCTGAGCTAAAGGTGCATCTGTGGAGAGATCACAGTAAGTTTCTATGGTAAATAAGTTGCTTCAAAGGATTTGCTGCAAGCTAAGTACGAATACATGGAAATCTTCCACGGATCAGCTGACGAACAGTAATTTGTCCATGTACCTAATCCCTAAACAGATTTATGTTTGCATAAATCTGCGACTTTTCTGAGAGAAGAAGTTCACTCTCTTTTCCTCCAGAGAAGTAAAGGCAGTGTCTTGCAAACTTTACAGGGTACCTTGCAGGCAACCACTTAAGGACGAGATCTCTTTTTAAGCAAAACTGATATTACTCAGAGTCTAGAATTAAAGACTAAAAACAGAAGCTTAAATAACTGTGTTGATCACTGGTAGCATGTGATGGAAAATTAAATAGCAGCTATTGTGCGCAAATATTTTTATTAGCTGTAAAGATATTGAGTCAGTGCTGTGTATCCTTGAAAGAAGTCAAGAAACAAACAGGGTGGAGCCTTCCATGGGACTTGCGGGGTCATCTTTGTATTCAGATAAAGGGCTTAGTAGCAGAGGCCAAAGGAGAGCGTTACTCACCTCAGGGATCTGCTTCTTCATTGTTTTCATATCATTTTCACGTGACTCTATTTGCTTCTTTAACTCCTCTATTCTGTAATCCAGTATAGACTTGAAATTTTCCAGTTCCTGATTTTTCTTTTTTAGGTCATATATATGCTTCTCCTGGGAGAAATAGGTACAGACAGCTGAATCAGACACAGCACTCTCAAACAGATCCCTAGGACAAGGCGCAAATACGGTAGAAGCAAAACCAGCAGTCACAGATCTAGTGGAAGACTGAACTGCAGTTGCACACAAATCAGGTGGGAAAGGAAAAGGCAAATAATGCAGGGAGACATCTACAGATCCCAGAACAGGGGATGAGAAACTCCAAACCTTGAACTTGAGCTCCCCGTGAAAAGCTTAAAATTAAAAAGACTAAAATCCCAACCTAAAGACCACAAATTCTTTAAGTTAAAACCGAGTTTCCAGTCACATGCTATTATCACAACAGAATACTATTAAAATAAATATCTGTATTAAATTAAGAGAGGGTGACTCTGATCTCAGCCAATTGTCCAGTTTCTCACCTTGTCTTGGATAGTGTCGACTCTCTCTTGAATCTCTGTCTTTAGTGCCAAGATGTCCTTGTCCAGTGACTTAATGATGCCTTGCAGCTTGTGCTGCTCCTCTCTCATTTCGTCCATGTCCTTGTTTCTCTCCTTGAGCTCTTTCTGTAGGCTGTTCAACTAGAGAGGCAAACAAGCAAGAACTTAAGTCTCCAAAAGCTGCGTAAAACTTAGCCATCCTACTCTGTAAGATACCTTGTAGACAGCGTGAGATAAAGCATATCACACTGAGATATGAGCATCACATCATTTAAATATGTGTTAACTCAAAAGGGGGTCGAACATCCATTTTTGCATTTTCTGTATATTCTGACATAATATTCAATGCACTACAAGGAATCAAGGAATTTGCATCCAGGAGCAAGAAGGGTATGGATATTATACCCAAGCATCAGCTGCAAATAACACTGAAGCTATAGAAACTTATTGTAGGAAAATTAAGAAAATTAAATCCCTTGTCATACATCTCTAAAGATGTCAAAAGTAGACTGGAGAGGTGCCTAGTTCATAGTTTTTGGTACCCTCAAAATCTCTGCTTCAGTACTAAGATCTGTGCAGCCAAGAAGGTCAGAACCAAGGAATGGGGCTGGTCAAAATGTGAGGACCCATATTCTAAAACATCCAAAGTGATAAAAGAAGGGGCTACTGTTCTCATATGAAATGCCACATATTTACAGACTAAGTTAACAGGCTAAACTGACATGCCATTAATCACATTCAATCCTCGGCTATAGGTCTCCACATGCAGGTCTGATCCTATCACAGAATAAGAGATACCCTTTTATTCATGACTCCGATTTCTCCTTTCAGTTGCAGGTTTGATTTCTTTTCTTCCATGAGCTGTTTCTCATACTTGATTTGGATTTCCAGGATTTCTTGGTCTTCATCTTCTTCAATTTGTTTCTTAATTTCTTCATGTGCTTGAAGCTGCTGTCTCAGATCTTCCTTTGCCTGCAGTTGAAGAAAGCAAACATTAGAGAAGACAACAGTAAGAGACCAATGAATAGGATAATTCTTTATTTGTAACCGTGTTTCTCCTTGGAGGAACTATATTTAGTGGACTCTTCAATTGCAGCAATATCATTTAAGGCAACTTAACTTCTTAGGAGATTAAAGTAACTGCAAAAACTCTTAAGACAAACATAAAAACCACTTCTTAATTTTTCTTTTTCTTAGGGCTTGGATGCTTCAGGTTGGAAACCTGGCTCAAATACTAGCATCAGCAGACTTATTCTGGCTCCGGAAAATGCAAACATGAGTAACATTTGAGAAGATGTTTTAAAATTGCTGTTTCTGATGCATTAGAACCAATAATCACTCAGTTTACATCAGTCTCTGTATGCCTCTCTTCTCACATTCTTTCCAAATTGGTATTGCAACATAGGGCTGCAAACAGTAATGTCGATAGAATTTGTTGACTTTAGATATTTAAGTATCAGTTACCTGGCAGCCCTTTGTCAAGCCAGTTCTTTCACCTCAATGCGCAGGAGTTTTTGAAGCACTTGGAGCATTTATCTTTGTTTTCCAAATTATGCAGGTAAGGAACCCCGGGGACTCGGGAATGAATTGGCCATTTTAGAAATGTTGTCTCTTGACTAGAACAAGGTGATTGAATTTTTCTTTCTACACTTACAGTAAATGTATCATCTAACACACATTAATAAACAGGAGTTCTTGGATCTAGGAGACAGAGAGGTGAAACAGAGAATGCCCAAGGATTTTAATCTTAGCAGGTTACTTACTCAAGGTATGAAACCCAGAAAAGCTGGTAACTCAGCTGAGTTTTCCTCATTACTATTCTACCTGTCAACATCTTTCACCAAGGTTACGGGCAGATTAGGATTTGCATGGAGGGAGCCAACCTCTCCTGTCCTGGGAAACATTTTATCACAGGGGGAGATAAACTTAGTCAATAATTCAAACTGTAAATCAAGTTTCCTACCTCTTCTAGCAGAACAGATTTCTCATTAAGTTTTTCCTCATAATATTCTGTAAGCTCCTTCACCTCTCTGCTTTTGCTTTCCTCCAAATTGTGCAATTGTTTCTCGTATTCCTCCTGCATCCTCTGGGATTTTACTTTGAGCTTCTGGTATTTCTCATGTTCCATTAAGAGTTTCTGGTCTCTGTCAGATTCTGGTAACAGGAAACATATGGAACAGCTAAAACTAATAGAAAAGAGAGATGTATCCTATTCTTCTACAGCTACCAGTATTTTATTCTCTACTGCCTTCTTCTGCCATTTGGTTGCAATAAGTTATATTAGAAGCACCGAAGCCCTGCTTTCTTCATCAGGGGTTTTAGACCCTGTGGCCATGTGAAATTTTACATCAGAAAACAGTCTCTGGAGTTCCCTGCTCTTGCTGTTACATACCCCTTCACTAATAATGCCTGTTCCAAAGCTGCCATTCACCTTTCTCAGTTGTGTCTCTGAATATCCTGCTATATCCCTGCTTGCTGCATCGGGACAGAATGTTGTTCTGTTCCAGCTTGAGCAAGTCTAAAACCTACACCAAAATCTACTCTGCCATTACAACAAATTAATAGCAGCTAATTTAGGCATTCCCTCGAGATGACAACCATGACAGAGCTGTGTAAGTAAAACTGTTACAGCGTATGAGTAGGCAATGGCCTCATTTATGGGTGGACTTGCTTTTTGGTACCAATTTGCAGTATTTACACTTTATCTTGATTAAAAATCTGGGGTCCAGGTATTTCCACATTATGTGCATTGTACATTAACCTCCTTGCTGAACTGTAAGACTTCACTATTCTTGCACACTGAGCTATAAAATAAGTGAAGTAATCACTAATCTCAAAAACCAAGCATCTAAGACACAGTGGCCATGGGCATGTTCTCATCAGGGTCATGTGCGTGGTGCAGTTTATACAGATATTTCATCTGCAACACTTATATGACATTCATGCATTTTCCCTTGTACTTGTACTCTAGTAATCCCTCATTATTTGCCATGAATCTAATGAACTTCCTCCAGATTCTAGTTACAAACACTTGTTATAGTCTAACCTAGCTGTTGCACCTCCCTGGCCTGTTTATTCATCAGCTCGGACAGTTGACATTGGTGCTCTATCTCTTGTTCTTCTTTCTCTGTCTGTAAAATCTGGGGAAAAAAAAATAAGAAAAATACATTTTAATTTGAAACTAGGCAAAGCAGTGTCCAAATCGTTTGTGCTAACGCATGGTGGGGAACACATACACAACAGAATTTATGTTTGAAGTCTCTCACCGAAATTCAGATGCCATGCGTCCCGAAGTCAGGTTTTCGAAGAGATTAGTTTGTTACAAGTTACAAAACTATGGAAGGCTAAGAGAAAGTAGCAAATGGAGTCCATATAACACAGGGTACTCTAGAATCCTAATCTAACAAGAAAAGCCTCCACTTTTTTTTTGTGTGTGCCTGCTTGAGGAGAATTTGCAGTTCCACAAATTGTTGTTCAGACATTAAAGGTCAAGGTGCTTCCTGTCTCACTTGAAGCAACCTTGAGGTCCTAAAACACTTGCATTGAATGACATAAACCTAAGAGAAAGCAAGGTTTGAATGCCATTTGCTTGGAATGTCTGATTACCACTATAAATGACTTAATCTTGTAAAAAAAGCTCAAAGAATAGGATCAACAGGTGAGAAATTTTCCAGAAAAGCTGGGAATTGTACCATAGGTACAATCTTGTTTCCACTTTCTTCTCATAACAACCGTACGAGTCTTGCATAAGCAGAAATAGTCCATTTGCCTGCTGGATGTAACAACTAGAAAGGTTAGCCCCAGGCTGTCCAAATTTGTTGTTCCATTTAATCTTAACATGCACTGATACTCCAACAACTTACCTGCCTAGAAAACTTTTATTCTCCTCCAAAGGCATTTGCTTGCAAGCCTATAATCAACAAGCCTAAAGAAGTTTCAGTGTAGCTGATATTATTATAACTCCAGTTATAAAAAAGTTATAATGCAAGCACTATCTATGAAAATACCTGAAGAACGGCAGAAGAAAACCAGCATAGGTAAGACACAGGTAGAGGACTCTGTAAGAAGTAAAATGGCTTTCTGGTAAAAGGTCAAGCTGTACAGAAATGAGGAAAAATAGAAAGGTTAAAACTCAGGTAACTCAAATGCAAAAACCACAATGGGAAAAGTCAAGGAGCCTGAGGAACTTGAAGAAAACATTCAAAAGAATAATTAAACTTCCTCAAAAAATAAAAAATCAGGAACCTGCCAAAACATTTGTAGGGCCAAAAGACAAGAAAGGTATAAAAGGAGCACTTGAAAATGACACAACCATAAAATAATAAAACTGCTAAGTAACTTGGCAAGCTTTCATACTGGAATCCTTCTTTATGTGGAGTCAAACTGAAATATTGCTTGAAGGGCCTATGTACAACTCAACAAAATAAAGAGTAACAAATCACCAGGACAGGATGATATTAATCCAAAAGCTCAAAAAGACCATGAGGTTGACAGAACTGAATCATGTGCTATGTAATCTCTCACTTCAAGCAATCTTGGTGCCAGAGAAATTGCTGTTGCCTTCTAACTCTAAAAAGGGTCCAGAAATATGGCATATTACAGGTCAGAAATCTGGTGTGTGCACCAGACAGATGGACAGAATAGCTTTAACAGACACAGATAAATAAGACACTGGGAAGAATTACAGTGGCTTTTGCCTTCCAGAGAAGTCCTGCTTCATGATCACAGAGAAATCAGTAAACACACGAACAGAAGAAATCTAGGGAATATATTTAACTTCTATTTTGAAAAAGCATACAAGACAGCTCAGCAGACGTTCTTAAAAAAGCTAAGTGGCAGGGCATAAAGAAGGTGGCATTAAGAAGAATTGTTGGGTCCTGCAGCAGCAGCAACCTCATATGTGATGGAGCTTTTAAGGCATGGTCCCATTTCTACCCAAGTGATACAGCTTACTGATCCTTGGTCTCAGGCAGCATTTATTGCTGGAACTGGTTTTATGTGAGGATACTTACAGGCTACCTAGGAGAACTCTTCTATCCTCTTGTACTTACAAGATACTTGAGTCAAAGGTAGCTTCATACTTTACAAATATCAAGAGCATCTTGATTGGAAAGGAGCACTTTGTTTTTCAGATGCTTTATGGCATTCATAAATACATAATGCAAGCTTGAATTCAGCTCTGCAGTGAAAGATTTCTTGGTATTTGGTTCTGCAATATGAATCATACCTGTTGTTTGGTTTTAAGGGAGCCTATTTCTTGAGTGTAATTATCTTCTAATTCCTTTATTTTTTCATTAAAGTCCATGTCCTTGAGACGTAGCTGGAAATCACTTTCTGTCTGTAGCTCTTTCACATGAATCTGCAGGTCTAGTATTGCTTGACCCTGTTAGGACATGGATGAGGAGACAGTTTTAACAGAGATCATTTATCATTAGCAATGTCTTATTTCCATGCACATATTTATGAAATACAGCCTTTGCAGTGAGTTTTCAGACAAACAGACCGAGAAATAAGCTTCTTTTGGCTTACAAGATGGTTTACAGAAATGCAGCTTCCGACTCCTCTATTCCACTAAAACTGCTTTCAAGAGATTGAGGAAAGTATTAGAGGAAAGTCTAAACTTTTCTCCACACTCACTGTCCATACAATGCAGTCTGTATAATAAGAAGCAGCTGATAAACAGAACACCATATAGGGACAGCCAGTCACAAACTTCATGCAAGCTGCACACTAGGAATTTTATGGTTCATGTTCACAAGTTGCTCCTCCTACCTTCTCATCTAGATCTGATTTCATGGTCAGCACTTCCTCAGCATACTCAACTTCCTTTTCCCATTTCAGTATTCCACCTCCTTTATCACACACTTTCCAGATAAATAGAGAGCCATCCTCTGAGGCAGTCAGCAGAAAGAGGTCATCGGTTGTTATGGACATCTTAGAAGGAAGAGACAACAAAATAACAGTAGAGACAAGGAAGAATGGAGACACAGTTTGATTTTTTCACCAAACTTTTCTCTCACATACTCCCTGTCATTTCTACCACAGAAAGTCAACAGTGGAAACAGTAACCCCACTACCAGCATTTTTATTATGTTCTCTACTTCTGTTCCTCCTGCAAACAACAGGGCAAGGGAAAGAAAAGATCATGTGAAGACACTGGATCCTCTTTTGCTCTCAAAGCTGTAGGAAGATTTGTAAAAACTTGCAACAGAAGAGACCTTCTAGATAGTTATAGCACAGACAGGCAATTTATATGACAATTCCAAAGGCCTCTAGCTTTCTCTTTGAGAAGTTGTTTGAGCAACAGATGGCTAAACATTTTATTTTGAATCTGCAAATAAGTCCACCAAGAACTATCCAGTAATAACTGCTGTCACCTCCTCCAGACCTCCTGCGACTGTGTGGCCTGGCATAGAGAACCTGGGGGCTGACATAGCTTATGGGTGAGGTGAAAGGAAAGTTCACAGAATGTCAGGAGCTGGAAGGGACCTGGAAAGCTGATCCAGTGCAACCCCTGCCAGAGCACGATCACCAGAGCAGTCACACAGGAACACGGCCAGGGCTTTGGGTGTCTCCACACAAGGACACTCCACAACCTCTCTGGGCAGCCTGGGCCATGCTCCATAACCCTCACACTCACAAAGTTTCTCCTCATCTTCAGCTTGAACCTCCTGTGCTCCAGCTTGGGACCATTGCCCCTTGTCCTGGCATTGGCCATCCCAGAGCAGAGCCTGGCTCCTTCCTCCTGACACTCGCCCTTTCCAAATTTATAAAGAGTAATGAGCCTAATGTTGGACTGTGCAGTTCTAAGTCAAGGTGCTGTGATATGTAAAATGACAGAATTATGAACAGTTTTAACATGACAGAATATGTGGCTTCCTGGAGAAAGTGTCCTGACATGTTCCATGGTTACAGTCTCTACTCATCATATCCCCAATTTCAGATGCTGTTCAGTAGCCATTTAGAAATACACTCAAACCAGCACTGCAATCTCTTTTGCTTAATACATTTATCTCATTCTTCCTTCCATTCTCACAAGAGGTTTTCAAGTCTGCATAACTTCATTCTCCTCTTCCCAGAAAGAGCTATATCAAAGTTCTCCGTCAGGTATATGCCATGTTACATATCCTGGTGCAAGCCACATTTTAGTCAACAACAGCTTAACTGGTGTTATTTATTTCTAGAGACAGGACTTCTATGAATGCTGTAATATTCATTCTCCACATGCAAGCTCAGCCTCAGTTTTAAGCACATACTATGCTATGAAAGAGGGAAGGAGAATCAGCACTAAAGGAGACACCTGCAGGTGGTATTGCAGGAAAAAAAACATATTCTATGTTACCTTTGTAACAGCACCTGAATGGGCCTGATACTCGTTGAAATCCTTTGTCAAAGGTAATGGGTATTTCATAGCTCGAATTAATCCCAGAGATGTACCAACAAATACCATGCTCCCGGAATGAGAAAAAACTACTGCAGTATAAACACTGCCAAAAGCAGACACTCCCTGCTGGATCTGAAAAAAAACCAAAAACAAACCACACAAAATGCTCACATTATATTAAGTTCCCCAATACTATTTAATTACTTAGTGCATGAGCACTTGTCATACCCCTGCCTGCAGCAAATAATGCAGTTAAAAGAATCTACATGCCTATAGGAGTAAAGTAATGAATAATTAGTATTAAGATTTATAGTTATGCACTGTTAAAATTTCAAGCCAAGTTCCACAAGTTGATCACTTCTGAAAGATGTAATGGTTATCACAGATTATTTACTACTTTTCTGGGCAAAAAAAAATGCACATGGCCTACAGTGGTAGATGCAATACACTTGTATTTCAGCAAAACTCTTGATACTGTATTGCCAAGTTAGTTTGTCAGCTGGATTAGAAGATTTCCAGGTAAAGCCAAGTAAAGTTATAAAAATAAAAAACTACAACAAAATCTCGGGTTTCATGGTAAAGGACGTAAGAACACAAGAAAAGTGTCAGTAAATACCACAGCTATCTGTGATTCCTACTTACCAACTGGATGATAAGGAAACCAAAGCACTAGTGCCCACCCCAGAGAACTTAGCAAAATGCCAGAGTGCTTATTAGCTCACCGAAGACTCTGAAATTTCTTTGATAGTTTGGTCAGATCCAACAGCAAGGATGGTTTTGGCATCAGGAGACAGGGCAATGCTGCTGCAGATGCAGGACTTGAGCACACATTCCGACTCCCTTTTACCAGTCAACAAGTTCCACTCATACACAGCACCATGTGTGTCACAGGAGACAAATTTAGCATCATCTGTGCTCCATTTAACTGCATATATCTGGCAAAAGCAAAACACACCAAAGAGCCTAATGTGTAAATTATAGACATACAGCATGGAGTCATTTTATGGGTAAATCCATGACAACTTTGGAATCATACTTCCAGGTCTTACTTAAAAACACCTGGATGTTTATCAACTAATACCATTTTGGCATTAAAAAAACCCAAAACAGTAAGAACTACTGCCAGGAAAAAGCTCTTTTCAATAGTGAGCAGTACATTCTATTTTTATTACTCATTTCTGTGATATTTTTGCTGGTTCAGCTACCTGCCAATCATTCACCTTCAGTTTCAGGACAGACTCTTTAGCTGTACATATTGCATGCATACATTGATTTCTGACCAAAGAAAACTGACTTTTGTATTTCTATTTTTAATTTTTGGGCCCATTTCTGATCCAAAATTGTACTTTACCCTTTCAAAATGCATCTTACCAACTAGTTCATACTTTACTGGATTTGTTTACTCACATTCCCACCGTGTCCTTTCAGATTATTAATATTCTCAAAGGTGATGCTGGAATAAATTTGAATCACGTTCTCATTAACCGCAGCAAATAAATGGCCTCCATTACTGAACGAGCACTACGAAAAGAGCATAACCACCCATTACTGCAGATGCAGTGGATCAGAAAATCCATGCATTGAATTCCAATGACATCGTCTAATATCAGAATGTTGCACAAAAAGAAAACTCCATGATATAATTGGCCTCTTACTGCTTCCTTAAATGGTGCTTTCCCCTACTCCCCTTGAGTATTTCTGAGCAAAATACCCCCTCTGCTGCTTCCCAGGTACAGTTACACATCAGCCTCCAGGCTCATTTTTGAATAGTCAGAATCCATTTCTCTGTGCTTTCATATCCTAAATCAGACCAGGATCTACTGGAGAGGTTTCTCTCTTCTGTCATGTTCTTCACTACTCTGCTCCCTGTAAGTCCCCAATTTCATTTTTGCATGTCTCCTTACCTCTCTACAGTTTCTTATAGAAAACTCCTTGAAAACACGCATGTCCTCATACAGCAGACTTATAAATCGCAGTTTGTCAGAAAACCCAACCAAACAGAAAAGGCCGGTGGGATGAAGTGATACTGTGTATGCTTCCTCACGAAATTCCTTACACAGCTCCAAAGTGCTGAAAGAGAAAAGCATTGTGCAGTATGGAATAGTACAAACTCCCTATATACGCTCGACAGGACATTATCTGGCCTGGCAAGGACACCTGCAGCTACAGTCTGACTCTGCCTTGTCCTTGAGGAAATGTGTCATTCAGTTAAGTAATGATCACACCAATATTAGAGGAAACAAATGCAAATCTGAACTTTCTGGCTCATGGAGAAGGTGTGGAAGGTGCAAGAGCAAATCTTAGTTTGCCGTAATAGAATGAGGAAGGTAAATGAACCCCTGATTGCAAACCTATGCTAACACCTCTTCTGAAATTTGTTTTCTCCCCCTCTCTCATAGTTCTCAAGAACTATGGCTGTGAAGCAGGAGACAGGACAACAGTATCCTAAGACAAAACTGAATGAAACATTCCTGAGGATTTTTTTTGCCAAAACACATGAGAAGTCTGACACAAAAAATGGCTTCATAGAAAAGGCTTTGGATTCTTTTGGCACTGGTTTTAAAGGCACTGCATATTCACACTCTCCAAATGACGTCAGTGAGACCATTTACATCCCACAGCACACAAGAATTTTACCAGAACAAGACTCTCATTCATACAAGATTACTGCTGCTGCCTGCCAAATACAATAGACAACAAAGCAAGAGGTAATAACAAACACAAACAACCCTTTACTTTGTCTTGTAATTCCAGATGCGGACAGATCTATCCAGGGAACAAGTAGCAAGAATGGGTTTCCAAGTACAGACGTCCAGACCAGTGATGGAAGCAGAGTGCAACGGGAAGTTCAGATATGCAAAATAAGCTGCATTCCCCTGAGAAGTAATGAGAACATTAAAAAATGACAACTATTTCACTGCAGGCAGTAAGTCAGGTAAGAAATCTATCATAGCTCTTTGTACACAGTAATCGAGTAGATTTGAGAAAACCACTTAATCCTTTCACTTCACCAGTCTGAACACAATGTTAAAAACATAACAGTGTTAGAATCAGTTTTAACTTTATAATTAATAATCAAGAAAAGTGATGCAGGGAAGATGTAGGCTCCACAGTTCTCATACACTAGTAAGAGCAGAACATAATTGTAGGTGTCCAAGGAAATACAAGTCAGATAAACAAAGCTGGACATGCAAGAGATTGGTGAAGACCTTCTAGTTAGACAGATATTTAAAAATAATCAAGTGTTGAGTGATAAGCAACTTAACCAAGATATTAAGCTATTACATCCTGGAAGTGAAGCACCAATAAAATTTTAGGCTGCATGCAGAAAAATGACCCATAACTACAAAACTCCTTCCTATAAAGATCTTTCCATGTGCCTGTACACAGGTTAGGTGTTTTAACTCCATGCAAGTCTATTCCATGATAGTACATTTATCTCTTGTCTTTGTATTATTTAATTCCCTCAGAGCAGGGAATGTTTTTCATTATGTTTGTGCTTCACAGAAAGGTTTAATTCCTTACTAGGACTTCAACAACTATTATTTTAGACTAATGTGAGATTCCCATGGCTGTTTCAGCTTTATCATTGCATTAAAGTTTCCACATATTACAGTGGAGCACAAACTACTACAGTTACTTTAAAAGTCTCTCAACAAAAGCCTTACTTAAGGGATTCAACAGGATCACGTTCCCTTAAATAGTATCCTCTATCATTCCACTGAATAACATCAGGTGTTCATATGGGGGGATATTTGAGCTGAAATATAGCTCACAGAGAAGCATGCAGAGCATTTCATATCATGAGATTTAAAGGTTCAGATGCTGATTTGATGGATTTTATGAGAATGTATCATAGAAAGCAACACCGAATAGCCTGTGCCATTACAATACACCCCTTACTGGACACGATGGCTGTGGAATGTGATAAAATTGCACCCACCTTCGTATGATCAGCAGAGAGCATAGTAAACATGTAAAGCTGATTTTTATTTGTGTTAACGATCATCGTTTCCTCAGAGGGGCTGAAGCATATACATAGAATGTCCTGTCTGACTGACTGTTCTGGCTCCCTGCAGAACAGGTCCTGAGGAAGCTGCAGAAGAAACACACCCCATGGGATATTTCAGGTCTCCATGTTTTAGTAGTAAGCACATACACACAAACTTTGGCTGTAATGCTACTCTGTTAAGCATATACGTAATATCAGTAAGACAACCTGGATATTTAGTAGTACATAAATCCTGCAAGGCAGGGAATAGAGGACAAGATAACCTAACTGCATCTGTAGCATTACAGCTGAAAGAAGTATCAGAGGACATTTCAGCAGTAATCTTAAGTACTGCATTAAACAAAAATGGTAGCAGAAAAATATCAAGGAAAAAAACCTAGCAAGTGTCAGAATGAAAACTGCCTGAAAACTGTGATCTCAGAATAATGGTTCTCTGCAGTGTTTCATTCAGCTTGATAAAAGTCTTATTACAGGGTCTCGTGCATAGGGAAAATCTGACCTTTTAGGCCTATGATATGAAAGCTTGGCCTGGTCATCAAAGTTAAATGTTCTTATCCAGAGACTGCAGTAAGTCAATGCACAGAGCTCACTACAGAACAGTTACAAATCTCCCTTACTTAAGAGTGAACAAGTCTCATGAAAGCTATAATAAATATCTGAGGGTAGAATACCTTTGCCTTGGAAAAAAACAAGCAGCCTAGTTCTTAAAAATGAATGTAGACTACTTCTTAGCTCCAAAAGTCTCCATAAATACAAGTTTCCCAAAGGTTTCCTGAAGTTTAGCAGCCTCAAAGTATATTTTACATGTGGGAACATGCAGAGCTACGTTGCAAAAGGACATCTGTCAGTGACTTTCAGTGTTACCTCTGGTAAATCCCTTCCTTTTGACATCACCAGGACAGTTAGCTCATGCTTATAAGGTAATTTAGAGTTGTTTTAAAAATATTTTTAATAACTGAATCAGAAACACTCTCCCTCCCCCACAGGCCTCTGCTGCATAATTGTTTGGAAAAGCTTTTTTGTCCCTACCCAGATTTCTTGACTCTCCTCGTAGTCTTGCTTTTCCTTGGTCTTCTCAAAGAGAACAACAACTCCTGGGCTAGGAGAACATGCAAAGCCTTTGGAATAAGATGCAATTGCAGATATTTGAGGCAAAGAATCCTGTTGTGAACTATTATCTTCAGAGCCCAGTCCATAAGAGATACCAGAAGAACTGCAAGCGGGAAATGCATAAAGACTTAAGAGTAAGGAAGGACAAATCAAAAAATGTTTATCAACAGCAATCAAAATATTACAAGTTATTCATAAACTGGACAAGAAGGAAGTAAGTGAACAACCTGCAACTAATCTGCATGCACAAGCATGAAACTATTAGTAATAGTATTTAACAAAGATTTACCTCTCATTTGCTTTTGTTGTTGAGTCTTCTAGTTTTCTGGGTGATTTTTTGTACTTTACACTCGTCTCCCAGAGCAGCTGTCCAGTTTGAAACAAGGCAAGTTTGCCTGTGTCAGTGCCACATATAACTTCCTTCTCAGACAGCCAGGCATGGCACAAGTAGTTCTGCGGCTCTCTCTTTTGTAATTTAATCTGCTTCAAAGTTCCTTCACTGTACTTAAAAAGTTTAAAAAAACCATTTCCAGTGACACAAACCTGTGCATTGTCTTGAGGACTAAAGCTCACCTATGGAACAAAAGAGAGAGAAATTATTTTACACCATTATGTTCATAAATAAGCAAATATTATACCTGTTCTGAAGAATTTCAGTACCAGATACAGGAAAGCAAATGAGGGAAGCAGGTTCATAGAAACATATAGGAATACAGAAGAGACTAAGAACCATCATCCCCACGGATTGTAGTTTTCCCCTTTTAAAACTGTGTATATCAATTTTACACGATGCCACAGATACATTAACTCTATTAAGCTAAGTTGTTATCCAAATCAAAATACAATACTGAAGAGGAAGTTGTATCTGCCCTTCAGGATTAAATTACAAAAGTAAGGCCAAAATACGTCTTTACTGCTGATTAGCAAGATTTTCAGGTAACAAGCTTCCCGAAAACTGGGACCATTCATTCTTAAAGGCCAGGGACAAATTCTGTATTTTTGTATTTCAGGCAAACCTTCCCCATTATGCATATTAATGGACATAATTAGGTGTTTATTGGTGAAAACAGTGGAACAGCCATCTCAATACCAAACATGAAGGATAGTAGGGGTAGTTAGACCTCATTTTTCATGCTTAATGAGACTTTAGACAGCCGATGTCTTTACAGCCATTCTCCTCTCTTCAGGAATTGAGCTCATGAAGTCAGGAGTTCACCCAACCTCTGCTTGTAGCTGTATCTCAGAAAAAACGGCAGCTAGGGCCCAGCCAACCCATGCACTGAAAGCCTCTTACTTCCCTGCAAGAAAGATACTAAAAAAGGGCACCCAAAGCAGGATGCAGGAATTGTGTGCCATCAGCCTGCTCCTACCCACTCTTCCTGGGATACTCTTCTGATCTGCACATAGAAGAGACTGCAGGAAGGAAAAGGTGCACAAGCATGCTGAGAGCTTCCAAGATGTGTGTTACGTCTGCTGAGCACAGCCAACGTATTTAATGAGTGTCTCTGCAGGGACACAAGGGGCACGTTGCACGGTCACCGGCCAGTTGTACTGGCCAAATACCATAGATCTCATGTGATGTAAGAGACTCTCATGTGATACAAGAGATACAGACATGAGAACGACCATCATGGGTCAAAGCAAAACTTCATTTAGCCCAGTGTCCTATTACTGAGGAAGGCCAACAGGAGATGCCAAAAAAAGGCCACAGGAACTATATAAAATCTACAACGTGCAGGCCTCTCCTTCCTCTCATGCCTTGGATAGAAGCCATGTGGCCACAGGAAAAAGTACGGTGCATGCATCCTGCAGACGGAACTCAAATGCTGTGTGGAACCCAGTACTTGAAGTGAAGTTTGAACCTTTTATCCACTTTTTTGAAATAGTGCAATAGGCTCCCAAAGAAACAGTAAACTGTGAACCAAACTGTTAAAAATAGGCCTCAGCGATGCTCGGTTTTGGAGCCAGATGAGTGCACCCTCTAGCATGGCAGGGCCGGGGGAGCCGAATGGGCCCGGGGCCAACGTGGTGGACATGGAGCCCGTGAAGGCTGTGGCCGTTACCTGGCAGACACCGCTGCCTGGGGCT